CCTTGATGTCAGAGGAGAATGGCCAGACTGGTTCCAGCTGATAGAAAGGCAACAGTAACTTAAACAAGCAGTCATTACAACTGAGGTCTGCAGAAGAGCATCTCTGAACGCACAACACTTACAACCTTGAGGCGGATGGGCTACAGCAGCAGAAGACCACAACGGGTGAAGCTTCTGTCATTAGAAGCTACAATTGGCACAGGCTCACCAAAACTGCTCTGATGAGTCTCAATCTCTGCGGCGACATCATGACGGTAGGGTCGGAATTCAGCATCAACAACATGAAAGCATGAATCCATCCTGCTTGTATTAACAGTTCAGGCTGGTGGTGGTGGTGTAATGATGTGGGGGATAATTTCTTGGCACACTTTGGACCCATTAGTACCAATTGAGTATCATGTCAATGCCTGAGCCTACCTGAGTATTGTTGCTGACCATGTCTATCCCTTTGTGACCAGTGTACACATCTTCTATTGGCTTCCAACAGAATAACACGGCATGTCATGAAGCCTGAATCATTTAAGACTGGTCTCCTGAACATGACAATGAGTTCACTGTACTTAAATGGCCTCCACAGTCACCAGAACTCAATCCTATAGAGCACTTTTGGGATGTTGTGGAACAGGAGACTCACATCACGGATGTGCAGCTGACAGATCTGTAGCAATTGTGTGACGCTATCATGTCAATATGGACCAAAATCTCTGAGGAATATTTCCAGTACCTTGTTAAATCTATGCAACGAAGGATTAAGGAAGTTCTGAATGCAAAGGGCGTCTAACCCTGTACTAGTAAGGTGTACCTAGTAAAGTGGCCGGTGATTGTGTGTGTATGCATGCATGTAATATATTATATATATATATATTATATTTATATATATAAACAGCCTTAAGGAAATATGAAAGAGAAATACAATTTTAGAGGAAGACTAATAATTAAGTTTTTAATATTTAAAACAACAGTATTTGTAGAGAACTAAAATCTCCCCTGTCACTTGTGATCATACTAATACACCCTTGCTGAATTAAAGCATTCATTTATTCTATATTGATTTCTAGTCTCAGCCTAATTTGTCTGATTGCTGATACATAAGGCTTAAAAAAAAATTGGGAGAAAAAAAAATTCAGGAGATTTAAATAATTTTTAATGGAATGAATCCCGCAGGATTTCTGGAAAACGTGACAAAGCCGGTAGAAAGCCGAATCCCCTTATAGAAAAAAAAAGTCTTTATATGTACAATTGTGTCCATGCATGCTTATCAGGACCCACCAAACCCGCTTGACTTTCAACAGTGAAGTTCACTGCATACTCCTTGACTAAAGCTGACATACTTTAATGCATGATTCATTGCTTTCACACCAGCCTATTACTGTTAGAGACATGAAGCCAGACTTGTTTACGCTTATAAACATGTGACTGTGATTGGTTGTTTGTAAGTTTTGCCTCTCTGTCGCCATCTCTGTTGGAAATGTGCAACTGCAGTTATCTGTGGAAGTCTACTCTTTAGGTGGGTTAACGATTGCAGCACTAATTTGGGGACTGTACTTAATCAGATTTTAAGTCTTGAAAGTTTGTCCCAAATAAGAATTTACTTTGCAGAATGTCATCTAAATAATTATTTAACATGTTTAGTGAGCAGTTTGCAGATAGTGTTACTTTGCTGTGAGAATCAAGTTCGAGTCCTGACAAGTTGCAAACTTTACTGATTTCATCCCCAACTTCTGCTTCCTGTCATAACATTGTCTTATCATAATAAACGCAAAAATCATGTTTGCTACTTTTGATCTGACTGATGGAAAAATAAGTACTAAAATAAATAATGTTCTGTATGTGATTAAACATACAACCACCCCGTTACCTTGTATCACATGATAACATGCCCATTATTATTGTACTTTGTTCTGAAATTGTCAGCATCGGCATTGTGTGACTCTTGTGAAATTAGTGTTATATTTAAATTTCAATATTGATTTTACAACTTAACCAGTAAACATCACAGTATCGCTACTGCAAGCAGCAAGAACAAGTATACCGAGTTATCTGAGCAAAATTTGGTTTTCTGATGAGCATCTGTGGTTCATGCATAGATAAGAATATGATTTTATGAACAGAATATCCACAGAGAAGAATTTTGAACTTCTCACGCAAGCTAGTCAATGATGTGCTTTATCGCTCTTGCACGTTGGTTGGTGCAAAAGCAAACAGTCCTAGTGCTCCGCAAGCCATCGAAATGAATGGGTTTCAGAGCGTAGCTTTTTCTGCATACGATGTGACAGCGCAAGCCAATCAAATAAATGGGCTTCTGAACGTCGCTCTCTGTGTATGATGTGAAACCACAAGCCATTGAAATGAATAGATTTCATAGCATAGCTCTTTCTGTGTATGATGTGAAAGCGCAAACCATTGAAATAAATGGGTTTCATAATGTAGCTCTGTGTGTATGATGTGAAAGCGAAAGCCAATGAAAAGAATGGGTTTCATAATATAGCTCTTCCTGTGTATGATTTGAAATCGCAAGCAATTGAAATGAATGGATTTTATAGCATAGCTCATTTTGTGTACGATGTGAAACTCACTTTATACTGTGGGTATAGTTGGGAGGAAAACGGGAAACTAGTGCACTGAACACTCTGCAGTGAGGCGCAGCATAGCCATTATTAGCTGACATTTTTTGTCATTTTTCTCTTTTAAAAAAACTAAAAGTTTTATTTTCGGCCAATGTGTATTTTTATTATTATATTTTTTAACTAAACGACTCTCCACGGTCAGGTCCTTGCATGTAGGACTCATTTTTAGTTTACAGAAATAATATAACAGTGGACATGTCCCCTCCCATCCGAAAATTTGCTTTTCTTTGAACCTGATAAAAACTTATCAGTTTAAAAATAATCATAATGACGTAGTCTCCATGCTATAATAATAATATTGAAACTATTTTTAACTGCGGGGACATATCTTTTTTAGTACAATTCGGCTGTATTATTTGTGTCCCCTTCAAAAAAAATGCTCGAAAGAAATTTTATATTAATTGTCCCCCCTACTGTTAAATCAGATTTACGCCCATGAGTGGTTCATCCATGTTTTCTGTGAAAACCTACCAGTGCCACTTTGAAAAAAGCCAAAACAACAAAACAACAACACCTTATTACAAACTTACTACTGTGAATCCTGTAAGGTGAGGACATATTTTTGATCACTGGCTATGTATGTACTTGCTTATAAATAGATTTCAGACCATTTTTAACCCCAAAAAAGTTACAAATTGCAGCTTATAAAGGTCCAAATGAACCAAAAATCGGTGAGACTTATTTCAGTACGCTGATATACTTTCAAACGAAACCGAATATTAAGCAGGGGCGCACTTTTTTTTTTTTTTTTGCGCATCGTTCCCTCATAGCCTACTAACAGTAAGGCCCAATCCTAATTCTACCCCTTAGCTATTCCCCTTACCCCTACCACTCGCTTTGCTTGTTCCCGTGAAGGGGTCCCAATTCTCTTTAGCTTGAAGGAGTATGGCTTCACCACAGCCACAGTTGCACCCGGAAGTAAGGAGATCCACAAATTGTTTTTTTTTTGTCATTATGAATTTTTACAACAAACAAGCACGTGTTAATATATTTATAATTACATTTGTGTCTTACCATCAAGCTTAAAAAAATGAAAATAAAAAATAAATAAAAAATAAAAACGCTAAAATAAAAACTGCTAAAATTCGCTATCTATAGTCCCTAATTTTAACCAGTGGCGTAGCGCAAAATGCAGAGGCCCCCCTGCAGGGATCACTGACGGGGCCCCTGGCCGGAAGGGGGGGGGGGGGGGGCAACGCGGGGAAGCAATCACAAATTGAGGAGCGGGGAAGGGAGGCGGGATGGAGCGACAACGCGGGGAAGCCTTCACAAACTGAAGAGCGATCACAAACTGAGGAGCGATCAAACCGAAAGCGGTGAGAGCGTCAAAGTAGCCAGAAGTCATTCATTTTTAATAAGAACCGGCGGCGAGGAACAGCGCGGCTCGTCTTCTTCTGTGTGGGCGTTGAGGAGAGTTGAAATTAAGTCAACTTTATGGTATGAGCTATGACGCGGTTCGGCGGCAAGCAATCTTGAGAGGAGTTCAGAGAACACAGATCTGCGAACTTTGGTTCCGACCACAATTGTTCCCAAGAGTTTGATTATTGTGGTTGCCGGATTTTCAATTATTGAAAATCGCGACGACGTGGGGCCCCTTAATCACGCGGGGGCCCCCCTGCGGTGCGTGCCCTGTGGGCCAGTCCACTACGCCACTGATTTTAACTCCTGTATAGCAGTCCCACAACATCCTGTCACTCACTGACACTCGAATACCCTGTCAGTAAAGTCTAGTGGCTAGGAATGAGCTTTTTACAGTGTCTGCTATAATGATAATGTTGTTTTTTTGTGTTTACATAGCTGAATATGGCCACTGTGTAAATACACAGTACAAGTACGATCTTGTCACATTAGATCGTTATGATAACATAATATATGCCTTCAGTGATTTCCTGAGTATAAATACCAAAAAATAAAGCAACTGGAATAACTACAGCAGTCACGATCATCTGATTTTATATGAAGCAAGAGATCACGATGACATATAATGATGAGTGCAGGTGCTGAAGTGCTGTCCCAATTCTTAGGGGTAAATTTTCAAGCCCTTCCCCTTCACACTCGGTTTTAAGGGCCAAGGGGAAGGGGTACAAAAATAGAATTGGGATTGGGCCTAAGAGTGCCGTGGCTAAAAACATTGTGACTTAAGCATCGTACTGATGTCACCAGAGAGATCACCACTTTTAGATTTTGATTGAAGGTTACCCTGCAGGGATTAATTGTTCACCAAAAGAATAATAATGTGTACTAGCAAAACAAACATTGTAAATTTCGATTTTACAAGACCTTTAAATGTCATTCAGGCAGACCCCTAAAAGATGCAATGGCATCCAGACCTTCAGCAATCAGTCTGAACATCTGCTCATTTGATCATCTTACCTTGGACCATTCGCCGGTCTTCCACTCGTAACATTTGGAGTGGTCCTCGCAGGCCTCCACCTCAGCGGGACGGGACACAGGGTCACAGAGACCATGAGGATTAGTGCAGGTCACCGTCCGCCTCCTGCTGCCGTGTCCACATTCAGAGGAACACTGCAACACACAAAACACCAGCAGAATTCAGAGTGCAACATGAGGAAAATAAGTGCGCAATCGAGTGCAAAGAGGGATGGGGCATAAGCAAAAGTGCCGGTCATTAAAACAGGCTTCCTGCGGAGTCTCACTAACGCTTTTCTCCGCTGACTGAACCCACTCTAATGAAGTGCTTACAACATCAACAACAACATGGAGATATGAAACAAGACCCACACATTTAAAAACAGCCACAGTGCCCTCCATAGGCCAGGAAAAAGCCCACAGAAATAAGCATGCACATCCTGGCAGACTTTTTTTTTTTCTAATAAAAAATAATAAAGAAAATATTTAATCCAATATGTATAATAAAACAAGCTATATTTTCCATCATATACTTTATTTAATAATATATAATATGTAACATTTGTGTATAACTGCTTATTTGGACATAATAAGTATGCATTCTGTTGTGCTGAATTTATGATAACAGATAATAAATAACTAGTAAAATATTATGTACTGTCATCATGGCAAAAATAAATTTGTTATTGAGAATAAGTGATGAAACAAAGGGTGTTTAAAAATGTGTTGTCTTTTCCGTTTGTTACAAGCATCAGTGATCCAGTGACTGTGGATTGCCGGAGAATCACGCAAGCACGCACGCACGCACGCGAGCACACACGCACGCGAGAACACATACTATTGAACTACAATCCCATCATGCACCTTGCACACACCTGTTCCAGATCACTATTGATTACAAACACACAGGACTGATTATGAGGACTATTTACACCACACACACACACACATCATTGCTGAGTCTTGTAAGCTGCACCAGCCTATATATCTGAATTCTTAAGCTTGTATTCTCCCCAAAGATCCTTCAATTCCTCTGCTCAGCTCCTGCTAATTGCTCCTAAATCCAGCTTGAAAACAACAGGAGACAGATCTTTTTCAGTCTATGCTCCAAAACGTTTAAACACATTACCTCTAGAAATTAGAACCCCATCTACATTTGTATAAAAATTAGGGATGTAACGGTATCAGAATTTCACGGTACGGTAATACCTCGGTATGAATGTCACGGTACGGTATTTATTGAATCATTTACAGGAAAAAACAAAACTTATGAAAATACTCCAAAAAAGTGCCAAAAGTGTCAATGACATACAAATTAGTCATCTATCTGTAAGCTTTGAAACAGGAACTTCAATTTTAATAACAAAAAAATATTAAACCATGTAAAAAAAATTAAGTTTCAATTTAGTATTGTTGAAAACTCATCACATTCAACATTTAATCACTCACTCACTTAGATAGAGATGGGTTTAAAGGAAAATTATCATATAAATATAATCTGGTAAAAGCTGGTATCTCTGGGTATTTACAATGTCCCCTGCAACAGAAAAAAAAAAACCTCTCCTTTGGGACTGAGGTTTCTGGGACGAGAGATATGACTTGGCCCAGGTTGACAGCAGTGGGTAACGTTGTGCATTGTCTTTCCCCCACTTGAGAGGACAAGCCATGAGTGAGATAGAGGTCTCATGTCTGCATCAATCTGAACAGTGTGCTGTGTTTCTGCAGTCCCCATGATATTAGTCGTATTCCCCAACTTGCAGGCACGTGCACACACAGTGCTTAACCTGTGCAGTGCACATGCCCTTTTTAGTCTTGGATAGAAAGTTCCCTTCCAAAATGATCAAAAGTGCCCCCGCGACGCGACATACCCTCCGTCCCCGCTTTACAGTACGCGCGCGACAACACAGCTGATAAGAACTCGCGTGACAACACAGCTATTCAGTACGCGTGCGACAACACAGCTGATAAGAACTCGCGCGACAACACCACTATTCAGTACACGCGCGGCGACAACACCCGCTTTAGGGTTTTCCAGCGCTTTTTTGATCCCCGCTTCTAGCAGCACTCTCCATTTCCGCATTACTGGATCTGTAGCGACAACAGACCGCAAGGGATTATGGCCAAGCCTGGGCTGATGGGAATTGTAGTTTCCGGTACCTCCCGTTCGCTTCATTCGCCTGAGCAAATTTTCTCAGAAGACCTATAGTTTTACCGAGTCATGCGACTACGGTAATATCGAAAAAAATTAATATTGCGGTATGACGGTATTTACAATACCGTTACATCCCTAATAAAAATAAAAAATAAAAAATAACAAAGTCAAAGCCAACCTTTTCTCTCTGGCCTATTGATATCATTTTTTAGGACTATTGATTATATTTATCCTTTCATTCATTTTCAACTGCTTTTCCGGGGCCCGGTCATGCAAACAGCAGTCTTAGGTTGCTTTCACACCTACACTTGTTTCGGAACGAGTCTCGTTTGCCCAGTTAGCGCGATTCGTTTGGTATATGTGAAACCAGCAATCGCGATACAATCCGCACCAAATCAATCGCTCCGAGATCGCTTAAATGAGGTGGTCTCGGCTCGATTGAAACACACTCTGGAGCGGATCGATTGCAGTGAGAAAGCGATACGATCCGAGCGCAGTTATATTACAGTGTTTTATGGATATGTAATAGGCATACGGCTGTATAAAGAGATAATTATCATTAGGGCGGGAAGTTTCGCGAGTCTCCCGGATGCCCGCAAATAAGTGATAATTTCCCAGTAATCTCGCGTCTCCCTTCAGGTCCTCAAACAGCCTGCGTCATGTAAATAATAACTTGACTTCTAGTTGATCATTTGGTATCAGAAGTGGCTTATATGAAAGGCAAAGGCTTCTAGATTACACTTATTTAACCAAAAAAAAAAAATCTATCCATCCATTCATCCATCCATCTTATTTATGTCATATCAGCAGCATTTGCTATATTAATCGCAAAACCTATACTAAATATACAATATATAACATGCAATCATACAGGTTTCTTAATAAACATGCATTGTAAAAACATACAAATAACAACACTGAAAAGAGTTATTTACTGTACATTCTTTTAGTTTGATTAATAATAAGTATGCTTCTCTGAGTCTTCTGTTCAGTGCTATTGTGCTCTGACAAGCAGTTATTTTAAAGAAGGAACGCTTATGTTTAGGCTCTAATATTTCATGATAGCAAGAGCTAAGCACAGCTATCCGTAAGCTTTAAATAAATCCTGCTGACTTGAGCTCAGACCTGCGACCATTCGGATGCCTCCCACACGGTGAGGCAGTGACGTCCCTCGCAGTGCTGAACGCTGGCCGGTTTGGAGCTCAGACAGTACAGGTCTCTGGTGGGAATATATGTGCCATTTTGCAGTTGGTAAATGCAGCCGACTTCCCTCTGCTGCAAGCCTTTACCACAGGTTAACGAACACTGCGTCCAATCACCAGTCACCCACCTGAGAGAACAAGAAAAAGAAGTAGAAAAGACAATTTTAATATGATATTTTCTGAATTTTGTTTAAAAATATGCTCATTTTAGAGCTCCCATAAAGTTTAACAGTTTTACCATTTTTAATCCATACAGCCAATCTTTGGGTCTTGTTGGAGCACTTTTAGCTTAGCTTAGCATAGATCATTGAATCGGATTAGACCATTAGCATCTCGCTCAGAAAATGACCAAAGACTTTAATTCTGTTTTTAATGTTCAGAACAACAGCATTTATATAGAACTGAAAGGTTTTGTTACATTTTAAAATCTTTCCTGTCACTTATAAGTATTTCAATACATCCTTACTGCATTAAAGTATACATTTTTTATAATTAATAAATGAGCACATTTTATTGAGAGAGATGTCAGTTTTATTGCCATTTTATTCACACAGAGAGAAGTAGTAGAAAAGACAGTTTTGTCTAAATATTGTGCCATATTATGCTATTTTCTCTATTATTGTTTTTGGAAATAGGCTCAATTTACAGTTCACCTAGAGCAGGGGTGTCCAAACTCAGTTCTGGAGGGCCGGTGTCCTGCATAGTTTAGCTTCAACTTCCTTCAACACACCTGCCTGGAAGTTTCTAGTAAACCTATAATGATTGATTAGCTGGTTCAGGCGTGTTTATGTGGGGTTGGAAATAAAATATGCAGGACACCGGCCAAGTTTGGACACCCCTGACCTAGAGTCTAACAGTTGCGTTTTACAATTTTTCAATCCATTCAGCCAATCTTTGGATCTGGCGGGAGCACATTTAGCCTAGCTTAGCATAGATCATTGATTTGGATTAGACCATTAGCATCTCGCTCAATAATTACCTTAAAAATGAGTTTAAATATTTTTCTTATTTAAAGCTTGACTATTCTGTAGTTATATCGTGTACTAAGATGACAGACAATGAAAAGTTGCTATTTTCCAGGCTCATAAGGCAAGGAACTATACTCTCATTCTGGCGTAACAATCAAGGAACTTTACAGCCGTAAACAAATGATCAATAAATAAATCTGTCATGACGGTCTCTACAAGTTAAGGCATTATCTAAACACAATATGAATGCCCAATTAGAAAAATACTACTAACTATGAAATACTATTTATGAAAATATTTTATCAAATAACAGACAAATCCAAATGGCCAACACGAGCTGGAAATGTAAAGCAGACAGCAGTCTAGACAGATCAGCTCGATGACGTATAATGTCTCAGACATCCCCTAAAATCCTTTTTGGCAACTTGATAGCAACTGCCTTTTAAAAAGAAACGTAACCAATTTTAAAAAAATAAATAAATCAAGAGTGGGATGTAACTGATGTTTAAATGATAAAACATGAAAGTATCTTGAGAGTTTGTGTTTGCCAAGAACCTTCTTTAAGCGATTTAACTGAAATCCCATTCAGAAAACTCTTTGGGCTCTATTTTAATGATCAAGGCGCAAAGTCTAAAGCAGTTGTGTCGTGCTATGGCGCACTTGCTATTTACAAGGTGGACTTTATAAGTGGAAAAACTGAACACTTTACTAGAGAGAAAACAGTTAAACAGACCATCTGCAGCGCGAGAATAAAGAATGAGCATCCTTAATTCGGCCTCTTTACTTTCCCTTTACTTTTACCCTTTATTCCTTTACTTTCGTGGACAGGAAACGGTGGAAACTCACTCCACTGAAGACATCTGTTAGTCTACATATTTAATTGTTTACCGAGCACAAAGATTTGTTTTAAAACTATTTTTAAATTTAGTTCTAATTTCCAGCAAACTAATAAATGAACAATAATAATGAAGTGTGGTCAAAACAGTTATATCCAAACACACGTCCTGTTCTTATGCCTCTTATGGTGATGCAGACATCTCCAAAACCTGACAGGTGGACAAATCTGAACTTGCTTTTATTAAAACAAATATAAATTTGCATATAATAAATAGTACTCTAATAATAATAACATTATAAAAATGCAGATTGTCTTGAATAAACTAAAAAAAGCCCCATGACATGAAGGCATGGAGGCAGTCATTTTTAAATATAGTAAAAAATAATATTTTTTGTAATATTTTAATCCTTTATTTTTTTTCATATGTACAGATATTTGTATTGCTGTACATCCTGTGTGTATAGGGACATAACTAAAGTGCTCTGCGCTGGACTTTAGCAGCTTTTAGTTGGTCAACGGTGCTGTCTATTACTGTACGTTCACACCGAAAGCGGCGAGAGCGTCCAAGGTCGCTCTGGCCGCCCGGGCGACAACGCTCTCTGCCTTCAGCTCCTGCGGCGAGAGCGTCAAAACTCGCTACATTGATCTCTTATTTAAAGGAGCCGTTGCAGCATATCAGTTACATTCCTGCATAAAACATGTTTCTAGCGTGAAAATGAGGCGCACTTCTTATCAAATTCATACAACAATGGAAGATCAAGTTGCGTGTGGTGTGGCTTTGCTCTATTTATCCAATATGTGTCCATATGTCTGAAATATCCTAAAGCAGCAGTACTGTTTTGTACTATCACATCGCGTGAGATTCCCGCTTTTTTAAGATAAATATATAACATTAATGAACATCAGTAACTCGCCAGTAACTTATTTAATGTATGTTCCTGTAGGAAAAAATTGTAAATAATTGGAAATCCGGCGACCGCAATAATCAAACCCTTGGGAACAACTGTGGTCGGAACCAAAGTTCACAGGTCTGTGTTCTCTGAACTGCTATCAAGCGATGGACGTCTTCATTCTGATTGCTTGCCGCCAAACCGCGTCATAGCTCATTACCATAAAGTTGACTTCATTTCAACTCTCCTCGACGCTCACGCCGGCGAAGACGCGCCGCGCTGCTCCTCGCCGCTTATCGCCGCGTATCGCCGCCACCTCTCATTGAAAATGAATGACTTCCTGCTACTTTGACGCTCTCGCCGCTTTCGGTGTGAAAGTACGGTTACAATTCCTCAAAATAGCAACATGACAACAATGCGCTTTAGCACACCTTCTTTATAGACCAGCACAAGTGGCGCAAATGAATTGCTATTTAAACAACACAGCGCAAAATGTAAAAAATTACTTTTGCGCTGGTCTGAAATTAGCAGCAAATCGCGTTGTGTGTATAATAGGGCCTATTGACTTTGGGACAAGGGAACCGGAACTACTAAAATGCTAACTTGCTTCCGGGTTTCTGACGTCAAAGTTCCTCCACTCTATAGTTCCTACCCATCAAAATTAATTTTCAAGCAAGATGCTAACGGTCTAATCTGACTCAATGATTTATGCTAAGCTAAGCTAAAAGTGCTTCCGCCGGAACTGGAGACTGATTGAATGGATTGAAAAATGGTACAACTCTAGAAAAAACTGTTTAACTTTAGGATACACTGCAAAAATGTCGGTGAGCAAAAAAAGGGGAAAAGCAAAATAATTTTCTTTTCGCTTTGAATTAAGATTATTTATTAACTTGTTTTAAGGAAAAACTTACATTATTTTGGCTCATTTTTGAAAAACAAGACCATTTTTTTGCTCGTCTAGAAAAAGCTTCTTGATTTAAGAAGTTTTAGATATGTATACAAAAAACAAGGCAAAAGCTCCAAGAAAGCAATTATTTTGGCTCTAATATGAGCATATTAAAAAAAAAAAAAAAAAAAAAAAAAAACATAGGGCCACAGTGTAAAACAAGTTGACTCAATTTAAAATTTAAGGCAACAAACTACAGGACATTTGAGTTTAAGCAACTTAGAGTTAAGAGAATTGGGTTAAAAATGGAGTCAACTCAAAAAAATGTCCTGAAGTTTGTTGCCTTAATTTTAAGCCGAGTCAACTCTTTTCTTTTTTACAGTTTTAATCTGTTTGTTAGCATTCGGTTCATTCAGCTTTGCTGTACAAGAGATCTGAAGTCTCTTTCGAACATGTCTACACTAAAACAGCTCCTTAGATTCAACATATGAAGGTGTTCACATTTACTTCTTCATCTGCAACCTGACAAAATCCACAGCTGACGTCATATGCTACATTTTACCAAATAGTTTCATCAGGAACCATAATGAAATCTGGATGTTTTAATCATCGGTTTATAATATGACAGAACATAACAGATGATTATCTCTTTTTCTCAGATAAGCAGTCAGGAAATGAGCTTGCAGGAAAATCTCAACAGATGAGATTCAGAATAAAAATAAAGCCATCTTTATTAACTGCTTAATCAACGCCATGAGAGATGACAGAGAAACATCTGGAAACCAACAGGCAGGCATTTATATGCTCATTCTTACTTGCTATAAACCAGTTGTGCTGTTATAGACAGAAAAAAAAATTACAATAACTTAGTGACCTGATCTATGGCTGGTGGACAATAGAGGAGTGAAAACTATATTCCAGATCTACATTAGATTGAAGGACTTGAATTATATCTAAAGATCAGAAAATATTCATGGAAAAGGATTTATGACTTCATTGATAGTAGGAAATAAAATACTATACACAGTTGAAGTCAGAATTATTATCCCCCCTGAATTATTATTTTTTCCAAATGTATGTGTAACGAAGACAAGACTTTAACAAATTTCTAATCATAATAGTTTTAATAACTTAAATTTATTTTATCTTTGCCATGATGACAGTAAATAATATTTGACTAGATATTTTTCAAGACACTTCTATACAGCTTACAGTGACATTTAAAGGCTTAACTAGATTAATTAGGTTAACTAGGCAGGTTAGGGGAATCAGGCAAGTTAATGTATAAAGATGGTTTGTTCTGTAGACAACTGAAAAAATATATAGCTTAAAGGGGCTAATAATTATGTCCTTAAATTGTTTTCTTTTTTAAACTGCTTTTATTCTAGTCGAAATAAAAGCAAATAAGACTTTCTCCACAAGAAAAAATATCATCAGACATACTTTGAAAAATATCCTTGCTCTGTCATTTAGGAAATATATATATAAAAAAAAAAAAAATTCAAAGGGGGGCTAATAATTCTGACTTCAACTGTATGTGGCACCAATATTATAATAATAAATCATAACACTTGGATTTTAAAAAGGGTACAGCTAATAGTCATAGATCACGAGCTTACATCGTTACACAGATGAAGGAAACAGAACAAGCTACGTATTTTGGTTGGAAGTGTTTAGTCATTTTTAGACAACAAAACTAACAAAATAAAAAAGCAATCGCAGGTTTATCATCCAATGTGTATTGGAGGTTTGCTACTCTGCTAATGTTTTTTGTTTTGTTTTTTGCTGATTTTATATAAACAGAGCACACACACATATGGGGCGAATTCGAGTGGCTGAGATGTGTAGTAGAGGGCAAAATTATTCACACTCCAGTAAAATATTGTTTTCTTTTTTTAAATATTTCAAGTGATATTTAATGGAGCAAGAAAACTTTTACAGTATTTCCAGTTACATCTTAAAGCCATTATTAACTTATTGTTAGTGAATTATTGGAATTATTATCAGTCAAAACTATTAGCCCCTTAATATTTTTTTCAGTTGTCTACAGGACAACCATCACTATACAATAACTTGCCTAATTACCCTAACTTGCATAGTTAACCTAATTAACCTAGTTAAACATTTAAATGTCACTTTAAGCTGAATACTAGTATGTTGAAAACTATCTAGTAAAATATTTTTTTACTGTCATCATGGCAAAGATAAAATAAATCAATTATTAGAAATGTAAGCTGTAAACTGTAAGGGGTACCTGTATTGGCAGGGGTGGATGTTACACTGGCGGATCTGAGGCGAGGGTTTGTTCTCCACCTGACAGGAGCTGTCGTTTACTGGAGTCATGGTCTTATTGATGATTCTCATGCAAGACACCACAGTCCGTCTCTCTCCTGAAACAAGATATATCAAGGATATGAACGGTTATATACTATTAATTTATATCACAAAGGGACATCTGTGTACGTTTACAGCCACGTCTGATCTTAGATTAGTGTTGTTTATTTATTTATTTATACACACACACACACACACACACACACAAACAAACACAGACACACACACACACAAATACATATAAATATATATACATATATATATATATATACATACATACATACATACATACATATACACACACATATACACACACACACACACACACACACAAATACATATAAATATATATACATATATATATATACATATATATATATATATATATACATATATATATATATATACATATATATATATATATATATATATATATATATATATACATATATATATACATATATATATATATATATATACATATATATATATACATATATATATATATATATATATATATATATATATAAAATTTTAAAAACACATTTTTTTTTTTTTTTTGATAAAGACCAATTTATCCGCGAGAGAAAACATATACCTGTGTTGATTCGTTGCCGTTGTGCTCCAAACCTTTAATTTG